CCTAAATATAAAAATGCAGTCTCTTTTTTCTAACATATATATATATATATATACAGTTATGAATAACATATATATTTTGCATTCATTTATATTTTGCATATCATTTTATTGTAAATGGTTCCATCAGATATTTGTTAATGAAAACTTTGGCTTACCTGCTACAATTATGGATAACATTTTATTGGGTGTGGAAAATTGTTGGTCAAAGAAGAGGAGAATAAATTTTTGTCCAGACACTATCTGGCCCCAGATAGGAAACTTCCCCGCAGCCGGTTATAGAACCACGTTTCTCTCTTTATGCTAACGCATGCAAAATCCAAGTAGTGAGTGATTTTTTTGGTCTTGGTGGAAATATTGGAAATGTTTCTCCATCAGAGTTAGAGGTATTGTTAGATTTTTAAAAAAAAATATATATATATATATATTTACTCGCGGGTGTGATTAATTCCGGATTCAGTTTGCTCGGTAAATCGTGCATAATAAAATGCAGAAATAAAAAAGACACATAATATATCAGTTCGTAAACTTTCATCTGTGGGGTTATACCCAGACAGTAAATAAATCACTATATTTCAAAGAATTACAGATACCATATAGACTTATTCAGTTAAGGACTATCTCCTAAATAGTGATGCCGCTGTGACAAATTTTTACAGTGATAACTCTATAAAATAGAGTTATTTTCTTTCTTATTTGCATTTAAATTTACTTTGTTCTTAAAGAATTTATTTATTTTATTTATTTTTAGTTTACTTTTCTATTGTTTTATTTTATTTTATTTTAGTTGATTTTATTTAGTTTTTCTTCTAATTATTTTATTAATTCTCAGTTGTGTTTTAATTAAGTGAAAAAGCAATTAAGGAGACTAATTGGGATTAAAAGTAATTCAAAAATTAGAAGGAATCTGCACGTTGACGATTTCATCACCCCACACATCCATGCATCCTCCCTCACAGGCGTTGGCACATAGCCAACTTTAGCTCCTTCCATTGACAAAGTGACACGAGGAAAGCGATAGCCGCCCTACTTTTGGCTGCTCCTTCTCTTTGGCTAACGAGAGACTTTTCCAAGGAAATCAAAAAGAGAGGAGAAAAAGCACCTAAAAACAAGAAAAGCCTCGCGGAAAGAGCTGAATGAAAATATTAGGGGAAATTATTTTGGAGAATTTAGGATCACTTTTTTAAGATTTTTATTTTTAATTTTAGGTTCTGTAAGGGAAAAAATATTTTGAAAATTAAAAATTAAAGATTGAAGATTGAAGAATTAAGTTTGGAGTCTGTGACACTTTTATATGAGTTTTTTTTTTTTTCTATCTCTGTATTTTTGTGAATTGAGATGTTAGAACCCAAATTTATTTTAAATTAATTATGTTTTAGTTTTATTTTGCTAGAGCTATGATTTAGCCCAACTATGATATTTTAATTTCTTTTATTCGAGTTATTTATTTTTATTTTCTAAGATTGAGTGTTCATTATCATTCTTAATGTTTCTAATTAATTAGTCATTAATTAGATGATTGGTTAATCATAATAGAACTGGAATGCAGAATTATGTGTTGAATTCATTGTGTTGAATGCCATAAATTTCATGTGAGATAGGAATATACTTGCATAATTTGTGTGGTCGCTACATAAAAATCCATGAACCGTTCATGATACTTTGATTGTTGTAATTTACATAGGAATATAGTAGGTTAGCAATTAATGGGGCTTTTAGTGTAACTCGGAAGAGAGCATTAAATAAATTAGGGATTTTCGATTGTTAATTTGGATAATAAATATGAATAATGAGAATTGAGGAATTAAAGTGGACTAATTATGGTGAAATCAGTTGTTCTAGTGTTTTAGTTATTTGTTTTGTTTTGTTTTTATTTGTTTTAGTATTATTCTCGTTTATTCGGTCGTTCAAATAATTTTAGAATTAACCAATTTCGGTACTTAATTAAAATTAACACAATCCTCGTGGGAACGATACTTTATTCACTACTTTATTATTCAATGCTCTCTTCCGAGTTACACTAAAAGTCCCCCTCAATTGCTAACCTACTATATTCCTATGTGAATTACAACAATCAAAGTGTCATGAACGGTTCATGAATTTTCATGTAGCGACCACACAAATTATGTAAGTATATTCCTATCTCACATGCAATTTATGGCATTCAACACAATGAACTCAACACATAATTCCCCTTCCAGTTCTATTATGATTAACCAATCATCTAATTACACAGTGATGTTGTTTAGTGAGCACCACCCGTCTTCTATCTGCTTGGCGAACTCCCTTCGACTGGCAGAGCGCTTCCTTCCGAAAGTTACAAATCTTTCTCCCGAAAGACAATGAACACTTCAACACGCTCACACACTCACAGACAATCTTCTGAATATTTTTATCTATTAAGTCCGTACCCCAAAATAGGGCTAGAAATATGGGTAGTGACACAACTTTGGCTTACCTGCTACAATTATGAATAACATACGTTAGGTTCTGATTAGCTTTCAGAAAACAAAAGCTAATAGCTATATATATGTTAGTGATTCGTGCATTAAACCAATAATTAGTTTAGTTTTAATTTCGGACCATATTGTCAACTTTCACCTTGGCCTTGTCGCGCGAAACAATTGGTGCATGGTGGGTCTCATATATGTTTTTTGGATTTTAGGTTTCTTTCTTCTGTGCATAGGTTGGAAGATTCCCCCTTCCAACTTCCTCTGTCCAAGGAAAAATGTAAACCAACTAGAGATTAATAAGTAAATAAAATTGTATTGGGTGTGGAAAATCTTTGGTCAAAGAAAGAGGAGAATAAAATTTAGTCACATAGGAAACTTCCCCGCCGCTGGTTATAGAACCACGTTTCCCTCTTTATGCGAACGTATGCAAAATCCAAGTAGTGAGTGATTTTTTTGGTCTTGGTGGAAATATTGGAAAGGTTTCTCCATCAGAGTTAGAGGTATTGTTAGATTTAAAAATATATATATATATTTACTCGCGGGTGTGATTAATTCTGGATTCAGTTTGCTCAGTAAATCGTGCATAATAAAATGTAGAAATTAAAAAGACACGTAATATGGTATCACAATTCGATTCACAAATTTTTATCTGCGGGATTACTCCCAGACAGTAAACAAATCACTATGTTTCAAAAAATTATAGGCAGACTTATTCAGTTAAGGACTATCTCCTAAATAGTGACGCCGTTGTGACGAATCTCCACAGTGATGTTGTTTAGTGAGCACCACTCGTCTTCTATCTGCTCGGCAAACTCCCTTCGACTGGCAGAGCGCTTCCTTCCGAAAGTTACAAATCTTTCTCCCGAACACACTCACAGACAATCTTCTGAATATTTTTCTCTATTAAGTCCGTACCCCAAAAGTAGGGCTAACAATCTGGGTAGTGACACGACGATGAGACTCGAACCCCGCATGAAGTTAGCGGATTTGGGTTTACTATAAATGAGTTTGGGTCATAATCGGGTTGACACGATTAATAAATAAGTTGGGTTAGGGTTGATCTCTTAACACGAAGTGACACGATTAACTATATGTGTCATCTGCAATATAATGATATGTAATATAACATGAAAGTTTATATGACATATTAAATACAAATAATGTGAATTTAAATATTTGTAGGTAAAATTCATTTATTTTTCTTAAAAGAAAAGATAAATTGACTAATAAACATGTTAAACCCGTCTTGGCCATGTTAAATAAGTCATTATTACATTAGTTATTTATTCAACCTATTAATTTAAACGGGTTATACGGGTTGACACGATTAACACAATTAATAAATGAGTCGTGTTTTGGTTGATATTTTTGACACGTTTAATAAACGTGTCGTATTTTGGTTGATATTTTCTTACACGATTAATAAACGGATTGACATGAATACAACCCACTAACACGAATTACCACCCTTATCCCAAAATTAGCATCCTTGTGGTCTTTATATAGACTTGTATTCCTTCATGTTGACACAATCTAAATCTCCTTCAAAAATAATCTTCCAAAAATCTCTCCCTCAAATAATCTATAAAAATCTCCACGATTTTCTCTTAAAATAAAATCTTGCATGACAACACGCTCATTGCCAAACAGCTCTAAAAGTTTTTCATTGTTTAAGACCTTCAAGGCTACACGGTAGAGCTGTGTAGAACAGATAGAGAAACGGTGTAAGCAATTGAAGGCAAAGAAATTATTGAACCCGTTCAACATGTAGTACTGCCGTGACATTCTTAGATAATGAAATTCGATGTCCTTTTTTTTCAAGGAACAACACTTCATTTCAAAGTACTCTTGGCGCATCTGTTTATCAATCAAGTTGTAATCTCCGATGAACTAGCAGCAGCTTAAAACAAATATCAAGAGCCCGCCAGATCAAGGTAGGAGGAATTTCACAATTTGTCGTTAGCAATCTGTAAACAGTTTAATTTCTCTTGTTACTATTGGTATTAGTAACAATACCAATAAAATAGCTCATTACATTATGAATATACATCTATTTTTTATTTCCATTTTTATATAGCTCTTGCCAACTTTCCATTGCAAAATTCAATAACCCAAATTCTATTCTCATTTTCTCTTGTTTAAGCACCAATATGGCAACAGCTTAAAATTTTTGCAGAATATGCGCAACTTTTTAAGCTGGTGCTCCAAAATCCTCTCATTCCAACTAAGATTCTTTGATTTACAAAAAAACAAAAAAAAAAACCCGAAAGTATAGCAATCCCTATGAGTAATGCATGACATGTTCAAAAAGGCTTTTTTTATTATATATATATATATAAAAGGCAAACTATAGAACCAGCAGGATTTAAGCAGAACTATTATACAAGCTTTGCTTCCATGAAAGCCGGCGTCAATTTTCCACCAATGTTGCTACATCTTTGGTCACATCCTCTAAATTTTCAAGTGCTTGGAAAAGCAAATCCCAAACTTTTCCATGCTGCAAAGAAATAGAGCTAGTAAATGTCGTAGCTAGATTTTTTTTATTTATTT